AGGCTTTGTAGATGTTAAGTATGAGGACAGAAGTTAGCAGTATGGGAAATAAAAGGTTTTTTTGTACTTAGCTATGGTAAACATTCTGTGTTTGCATGTGGAGTGTTTTTGCAAGCTGTAGGATGTGGAGTTGTCATTTTGCTTATCCTTATCTGCAAACACCATGTTACATTTTCATCCCTTCCAACACATTTTGTATTTGATTTAGTATGTAAAAATGTGTTGAGAATGTATTAATATTGTGTATGTGAGAAAAAAAAAACTAAGTAGTTTATCTTTCTTTTTTATTATTAGTGATTAGTTCAATAATTTTTTTTTAAATTATTAATCAAAGTTGTGGTGATTTGATTCATCCAAAATATAACCAAATTGCTCTAGCTGAAATTTAAAACAATTTAAATCATTTTAAAGACAATTTAGTTGGTTAAATTTTTAAATTTTACAATCAAAACCTATTGATTTGCATATCAAATTTGTAAACCAAATTAATCAAACCAACAAGATTCGCACCTCATCACGAATGATGAGAATAAATTTAGGAATTGCTCGTTTGTTGTTGACTCGACATCTTAATATCTAGTTGTTGAATGCTCTTAGGATGTCGGGTCCTGTAATGTTCATGAGTTCACACAAACTTGAAATTATTGGTGTAAGAAAAGTGAGAAGAGGGTGGATGTTTTCTGCAGGCCTGGACTGTACATTATACTTTCTAAATCCCCCTTTGGCAGAGCTGAAGATATGATCTAACGGGAAGAGGGGACGAGAAACAATATGTGGGAGTTACGACGCAAGATCCTCCAAGAAGGCCTGGAGAGAAAATATTAAAATACAAGTTATGCATACGAAATTGATTTTTTTTCATGATGACTTGATGAAAAGATTGATGTTTGTCAGACGGCTCATAAATGAGGATGTGATATATGGTAATCCTTGTTGTCAGTCTTGACTTTTATGATCTTATAGTTGCAAGAATTTGAATTAATGGTAACTTATTTAATTAATTAATATTTTAGTTAGTTATTTAAAAAATCTAATTAAAATTTAAATAATAATTTAGTTATATCAATGTTAAATAATTTTATTACTTAGGAAAAAAAATGTGTCATTTTAGTTCAAAACTCTAGTGATAAAAACCCATGTCAATATAAAACTATCAAAATGCCTTTTCATAAACTTTGGTAAATATAACATTTATATTTAATAATAATAAGAAGGTGGACATTGGAACAAAAATGAGATACACTTCTCCCATACATGTTTGGATCTCAGTCATATTTAATGCAAACACTTGAATTGTTTTTGTCCCATAAATTGTGGAGACAAAGAAGAGTTGGATTCATAAATAATTTAACCACCTTCCTATCTCTTATATTGCCTTGTACTCCATGTTCATCATGAAAAAAAAATTAAATAATTATTATGTTTTTTTTTTTTTGGTAGTTTTAATATATAATGTTTGATTATGTATTAATTCAATTTTCTATTGGCCAAAAATATATGGCCTTTCATTAAAAAAAATTCTATAATTTCTTTAAATAAATTTAAAATTTATTTAAATATAAGTATTACGAAGGGCGATAAAAAAATTACATAGAAGTTACATTTGATCATTCTAATATAGTTTTTACACTTCATTATGTCTTAAAAAGGATTTATATACATACCACACAATACTTATATATGTATTTATATAATTAATATTTAAATTGTGATTTATTTTTATAATATTTATGTATCATAACCGCTTTGCTTTATTTTAGAAAAGTTAATGTTGGTGATACTTTTATTATGAATTTATAGATATAGATGTTATATAAATAAATATTAAAGTTTAAATATTAGATACATACAAATTATGTGATGTGTAAGAATTTGAAAAAATTTAATGCAAATGCAATTTTAATATTATAAATCATCATAAATGTAGTGAAAATAATAACAATAATGTAAATATAAATAGGATATGTGATATTATGGGCTTCCAATATAAATCACTCATTTAGGATTAGCATGGAATCATTGTCAACCCTTCTATGCTCAAAACCTCAAAATACCCTAAAATTTTGGAGACAATGCATTCTTAGCTCAGTAGTTAGAAGCAAAAACTACTTACATTTGCTAGTGAATTCCAATTAACAAAAACTAGTATTTGTAATTTCTTTATCAACTTGTTTCAATCTACCACTCTCTCTATAGGCTTTAGGAAGAAGCTTACATGTATGATCACTTATTTTCTGCATAACGATGTCATGGTACTTGGTAGCTAACAAGTTCCCTACCATAAAATGGAAGACCGCTACAAAACATTTGGTTATAGGATGGTTGGGCCTTCATATAACATGGACACCTTTAGCCTTATATACAAAGCGAAGATCATTTACAGGCACTAGAATTCCAACTCATTTCTTTTAATTTGGTGTCTCGATATTAAAATTTATGGGAGCTATACTATTTAATTTTTTTTTTAGTTTGGATGTCCTGGTTATTATTTATACTACCTTTTTCATTGTATGCTTGTCTTCTTAATGATTTTCCTTATATAATTTTCTTCATGTTCTTTGCTATTAAGATTGTTATGTCATTCAGGTCTTTCAACCTAATGTTTCTTACAAAATTGGGATAGCCTGATGCTTCTTCATGTTGCCTTCAAGTTCCTATTATTCAATATGGAGTTTATCATTTAACAGTTTCCAACATAATATTTATGAGCACCTTCTGAGATATTCTATTTATATTAATGTTTTCGATACTCTTGATTGAATCTATAAGAACAATGACACATCATTTGAGAATTTCATTCCATTTGTACTACTTTTTTGTCTTATTCCAATGTACCATCACATTACAAACTTATTCTCTCTTTGAGTTGGCTATATAGATATATTTTTGTTATTTTGTTTCTTGGTTTGTGGTGCTCATCTTATTTCACATGTGAAAAATCATGTCCTTTGTTGTCGGATCACTACCATATGATTTTAGTCACATGATTTGAAATGTGGTGCCATTTTTTTCTTTTTGGAAATAATACATCTGAGACTCATTCTACGTACTTTTGGATGGAATCTTATCATTTACACATGCCTTGTGTTTCATCAGGTTTCTCTTCTGTAAGCTCAATTACTTTTACTATTATTTTCTAGTTATGAACTATTATATTGCATCAATTTAATAATCTTATAGTCATCTTGTTACAAAGTATTTCTTTCTTCTCACATCCATATAATCAAGTTATAATTTTTGAAGCAAAAATTGTGGAGTACAGTTGGTAGAGAGTTGACTTCAATCTAAAGGCACACATTCCCGCTACATGTACGACTCGCCAATCTAAAAAAAAAGTTATAATTTTCGACCCTTTTATTCAGAAGTGGAACGAATAATATTTTTTTAGTGTGGGCAAAATCATTTTTTTTAAGTATTTGACCCAAAAATATATCATTCCTAAACTTCATTTGAAAAAAACATATATTAAATTTTAGTATTTATATAAAAACTATAAATTCCTTGAATATAACCTGGTTCTGCCCTTTCATTTATTGTCTATACTTAAAAATGTCTCATTAACTTTCTAACATACAAATTATTTTACAAGGTAATCATGAAGATAATGGTTGTTTGAACCGGATAATACAAACGTGGCCTTACTAACTAACACACAAAGTGGAGCTTAAGCAAGGCTTATAATAAGGACCTTAAACCAAACTTAGGAGAGACTGAGCCCCACTTGCCACTCCCATATGTTTTTGTCCCCATTCAACATGCTTTGGACTTCACATTACTATAAATTATTGCAATTTAAATATTTGCAAATAATGAATTTTTATTTATTAAATTGCTTGCATCAAGTTATAAGATCATTGTTTTTAGGCTAATGATAAGAAAAGTTGATAATGATGTCTCTTGTAGCCATTAAATGATAATGTCAACTGAGATATGAATAATTTAAGTACAATAAATAGATGGAAGATTTACAAACATATTACTTAATTCATATTTATTAACAAATCTAACAAATAAATTGTTAAGCGATCGAGCCCGGTTTAAATAAAACAGAAGAAGAGATTTCTCTCGCTCCCAACTCCTGCTCCTGATCGCGAAACGTCGCTACCTTAGCTCCCGTTCCATTCTCTTCCTCTGTTGCAAAACTACTCCGGCCTACGATTTGCGAAACGTCGCCGCCCTCTGCTTCTTTAAGTCGCGAATAGGCAGCAGTTCCGGGCGGGGTGCATGTGGTTAGTGGAAGAAGAAGGTATCGCACAGCTCTCCTTCGGATTGAACACAGTCATTTTTGTGTTCTTCTTCGGACTTCCACGAGACATTGGAAGAAATGCAAGCAGTAGTTCCTTGCAGCAGAAGGAAGAAGAAAAAATAAGAAGGAGATTGTTCTTCTTTGACTTCTTCTTGGTGGTTTGTGACAGAAGATAAATTAGATTTATTTCTCTTATAAGTTTATCTTCTTCGGTGTTCTCAGTGTAGAGAGAGAAGAAGAGGGAGCAAGGAAGTGAGAGATTCCTCTTGTAAGTTGAAACAATCGACTGGTGTAAAATCCTTAAGAAGTAAAATCCACTACAATTTTATGGACGTAGGTAATTTGTCGGACCACGTAAATTTGTGTGTTCCGCTGTGTTACTATTTTCTGGTGTGAATTTTCTCATTCTATTTTTCGCTTCTTCATCGATCATTCTTCTTTTTCGTCCATCATTCTTCTTTTTTATATATATATATATATATATATTATATAGCACAAGATAAATTTTAATTTTTACAAATATATCATCTTTTTTTGTACATGAAAAAGTGTATTTCAATGTTTAGAAGTTGAAGTAATAAAGTCTTTGATGTGTTACGAAAAATTGAGCTACATAAGTGTGAAAAATAAAATTTAGAAATTGTATGTAAATAATTAAAAAATTGGTGCCATATAATTGTAGATGTCCGTAATTTTTTTTTTTCTATTTTTATGTTTTTCTAACATATTA